AATGAAAGCGGGGTCTAAAAGACCATTGCCAACTGGCAATTAGCTACATATGTAATTTTTTATCCAACGCATTTCGAATACAATAATAAACATTAGGGTTTCATTTGCCAGTTTTGTAGTGAACATCAAAAAGAAAACCCGTAAATTTCTGATTTGCACATGGGAACAAAACAAAGACTTAAACGTAATGGTCTTTGTAACAATTTAATTATATGTCTTAGTAACACATAATTTCATGATAGTCGTAAGTAGTTTTGAGTGCAGATATTGCATGGTCATTTGCCATTAAAATTATGTTACCTGTGGTTTTGCCTAAAGGTAAATAATTTTTCCCTCTTTCCTTTAACAGTCTCCTTTTATTTTTTCTGTAAAACTTCGCTAAGCTTGCAGAGCCCAATTTAATAGCCAGCTCAAAATTATTAAGTCGTTTCCTTAGTTGTTTGTTTGCGCTTATAATCCGAGTCCAAATTTTGTGTGAGTAAGCTACGTTTCGGAGTGACCGCTCATCTAAATAACTGGTAAAAAAAGAATCATGAAATCTAGATATCATTAAACCAAGCAACAATATCGAATTTATTGGGCAAAATTTTCAATATAGATGCACTACTGCATTAATATTGAAAATTTTGCCCAATAAATTATAATCTATGATTTAACAAGTCAGATGTAACTGTAAAGACGACTACTTGCGTGATTTTGAAATATTGAAATCAATATAAATATAATTCAATTTTTTTTTAAATGTACCTGCGGGGTGACAGACGGTGGCGGGGACGAGGTACTCAAGATGTCAGCGGGTAGCGGGTGGTGTAGCGGGGAAGGGAAACGCGATAGGCACACTTCTCTTCGTGTGTAGCCATCACGTAGCCGTGTGCTAGAATGACGCGCTACCTCGCCCCCGCCACTGTCTGTCACCCCACGGGACGGTCGCGCACGAGATTGCCGGGTTATACACAAACGTTAATGTTTTTGTGTTTGACAAATAAAGTAATAACTCTAAGTACATAATATATTTAAACTCAAAATTAAAAACTAAGAGTTATCGAAAACTTCAATGTAAATTTAAATTATGTAATGACATAACGTCAGTCATCGGTCGAAAACTGAGTACAGCACAGTAAGTTATATGCTCATAGAGCTAGACTGCTATTAGGTTCTTAATTTCTGTATTGAATACTATCATGATCTTTCGAATAAGGATCTATTAAAAAAGGTTATTTTTTTAATATTCGATGTTACATCGACCAACCTGATAACTTGTATTTTTTTTAGACTAGCACTTCAAACATGACATAAGCTTGCTAAATAATATATTTATTTCTAATATTAGCATAATAATATCACAAAACAATTTAAAAATAACGGTTGTCTATGAGTAAATATTACATTCATAATTGTTTAAATCTTCTTAAATTCATTAAATTCACCACAAAGAAACAAGTTAGATTAGACTCTTCGTTCACTTACGAAAATATTTTCCAAGTTATTTCCAGCGGTAAAGAAAATATGGCATGTCTCTTTGCTTCGTTATGAAATGTTTTAGTACCAAACACGAATATTTCACTGTCGTACATTGTCAAGAAGACAATTCGAATAATTTGTATTACGAGGGTAGATATATATTTAAATAATTGGTAGCTTATCAATCATTGAGCAAGTTTTAAGGATAACCTTGTAAAAGGAATAGCTTGCTATAATGACGAGTGTAGCTCATTAATGGGTGTGACTTTATATACCTACCTCACAGTTATACCAATTACCATTTCACTTGAGCCTACGGTCCGTAGGCCTGAAATTTTGCTACAAAATTAGAAAACAAACCTTATACTAGCTTTGGCCTATGGCTCCACCCGCGTGTATGTCGATTATCAGAGCTGAGCACAAGACTCTAAATATGCTAACTTCGTTAATTAACGAAGTTAACATTTCGATTAACGGATTAAAAATATTAACGGACTCGTTAACTTTCGTTAGCTTTCCTCACTTTCGTTAATCGTTAAATAATTACCTAAATTACTAAAAGATGTGTGTGTGGTAACGTATTAAGAATACAGGGTGTACAACCCCTATTCATCTAAACGCAAACTACGCAAGACAACAGCAGTATAAAGAGCTGGAAAACTTGAGATAAACCCTCTACCAAATCGTCTGGCCATCGTGGTATAGTAGACCAGAACGCTATATAATTATGACATGGCAACACTACATTGTACGTCAAATTTAGACTGTTTTCTTACCAGATTTTAGGTGAAGTAAAAAGCCTCTTATTAGGGAATAATTTTCCCTAATAACTCCAATAAGGGATTGTTTGTCCAACAGTATATATAAAGATCTAGTATTACTTAGACAATTTTACTAATAAATAGTTACCACTATTCATCCTGTGACACCCACAGGATGAATAGTAAGTAGTAAGAGCCAATTAGGGGACAGGATAACGGCGCTCAACCGACCAGGAGAACGAAAACTTGAAACAAGGAGAAGACGCCTCCTATGAACTCTTATCCTCCTCGTTAGATTGATACCAACTATCTATCTAGATTAATAACATAAATTTTATTAACAAACCCTTCACAATTTGTAATAGGTTCTACGACTTAAAATCTAAGGTATTCTAATAAAACTAGTAAACAAAATATATATAAATATAAACAAATAATATAAATATATTCGTAACTGTATTTTTTTTATACCTTGGCCAGAGATTAGTTAAAATATGTGTGTAAAAAATATTTTTAAAACCCTTGGCGACTCCTACATACAAAGAACATATTACAGCGCCATCTAACGAAGACACATCGAACTACGGAGTAACTCTTGAATGATAATTGCTAATTCTGTATCGTGATATGAAGAATCTTCTAGCCGATTAGCATATATATAACTTCCTAACATCAACAGTTTGGCTGCGGCCCGCCAGGCATAATGCCTGACATGAAGAAGAAGAGAATACAATTGATGATCTATCGCCATGATGTCTTAATGAAATCTTTCCCCGTATTCGTCGCTCACCTAACCTAAGTTTTCGGGAGAAAAGTCGAGATGGGAATGAAAGATATAAATCTTTAGGGATATATTACATCCTAGCTTCTTATCCTGTAATAGTTTAGAAGCCATCTGTTCATAGTTAGCAGACTTTCTATTTCCCAAAACAAAATGTCGCTATTGCAACAAAGGAAATCTATGCATTTTTTTCTTCCGTCTTAATTTTGTAATAAAATTAGAATCCTTCTTGATCCTGTTTCTGGGCCGACGAAAATTCCTTCTTTTAATTTAACTTCGTTTTAGTCAGTCTAGGTAATAACGTTTTAAAATGCAAAGATCTTCTCTATTTCTATCTATGGCTTTAACAAAACAATTAATGAGACCTAATTTGATGTGCAATAAATATTGTTTGGTTGTACTAAGGGGTTTTCAGAAAAAGTCTTTGTCCAGGAATGAAATTAGTCCTGTGTATAAAGGTGTCTCAGTAAGAGTGCACTTTTTAAATTCAGAAGCATTTTTTTTGTGCAAGTGGCAACTCTGAAATTTGACAGCTGTCACCTATGTCACAGAGTATATTGAATAACCTATGTTTATCCGATTATTAAAAAAGAAATTCCGAGTATCGAAAGAACAAGGCGTTATAATTGTGAAAACTGAAACTCAAACAAAGCATTACGCAGTGAATTTTCACAAAAGACCTCCACCTTCATGCGAACAAAATTCAGCTAACTCAGAAGCTCAAACCAGCAGAACACGGGAAGCGCCGGCAATTCGTTCAATAGGTAATGGAGCATAGCGAAGTCGATGCTTGAATTTTTCGAAAAAAGTCATCTTCTCCCATGAAGCGCATTTCCATCTGAATGAATGAATGATAGAATGAATGAAAAAATGAATACACAAAATTGACGAATTTGAGGCTCAGAAATTCGGATTTTGGTCAGGCGGCGTCATTATGGGCCTTAATTTTTTTTTAAGATGAGGCCGAATTTGCAGTTACTGTGATCGGCATTCGTTACAGGAATATGATAACGGAGTTCTTGTGGTCTGAACTGGACGGCATGGACCTGGACAACATGTGGTTTCAGCAGGTCGACGCAACCTACCACACCGCATGAAACGATCGACTTATTGCAGCAGCGATTTCCAGAACACATTATCTCATGAAATTCTAATGCCAACTGGCCACCAAGATCGTGCGATTTTTTCTTTGGGGGTTTTGTGAAATCTCGGGTTTATGCGAATAAACCAGAAACAATTCCTGAGCTCAAATCGGAGATCCAACGCATCATCGATGAGATACAGCCACATCTCTGTAAAAGTCATTAAAAATTGAATGTTAAGAGTAATGGCTTGTCATCAGATTCATGGGGGCCATTTGCCGGATATTTTATTCCATACTTAATCGGAACATGTCTTCTTTACAATCTAATAAAAATATCAGAACTCTTTCATAAAATACGTGTTCTTATTTTAAAATAAAAAAGTGTACTCTTACTGAGACACCTTTAATTAGAATAACGGCAAAAAGTCATGTTGACTAGTATAATTATGATAGAAGGATTCCTCCTAGTTTATTCTTATAACCATATTGTTTTTCGAATTTCTATTTATATGTAGCTTGTAGCTCATTAGGTGTATAATTATGAACAATACTATTGGTAACTAGTAGACATTACATGTTAGATTTCGATGGTAAAATTTTTTAGATAGAGAAGTTACTATGCCGGTTTCGTACTAATAACTAGCAACTCCGACAAAAACTGACCGGATCAACAAGCGAGCGGTCTGCTTATGTCGGTTCGTTCGCTATATATACAGGAATACTTTTTGAATAGGTTTTTGCTGTTCTATTTTATTAATTACACTTATCAGTTTCAGTTCATATATTGTGTAAAATTTATATTTATTTACCTACTTAGAAATGTTCGGCAATTCAATACAATCTCAGTGACAGATGTTACAGTGCTAAATCGCGCCACTTTCTGGTTAATTACATTTAAAGTATGGATATAAATATGGAAGAAAATAAGGAAAATATTTATGTAATTAACTCAAGCCTCCAGGAACCCGATAACGGTAATATTATGATCACTATCTCGTATTATTTTCACGCTCGATTTTGACGTTCGTCTGTAATAATCGACCAAATAAAAATGTCCACATGTAACATTGAATCCAGTAAATAAATCTACTATTGGATGGAAGGCTTTTGAATATTGATGGTTGCTTAAATCGCGATCTGATATTTTATTTTTATTTTTTCATAACGAATTCTGTCGTTCTGTTTGCGTCAACATTATGAGCGTAGTGGGCTTCCATAACATCGACCTATTTTTCATGGTTGTCTTATAATCCAAACATCAATAGGTGTTATATCTATTTTTGAGATTCAATGCTGGCAAGTCATCTTTATTGAGTGTTCCTTTTTCAAAATAGTTTGTAGAGTTAATTTTTGTTAATGTATTTATATGTGTAGATGTTTATTTGTAGCATATCACATTTTAGCGTTTTTAGATTCAAATTTTTTAAGGTTATAATATTTGTGTTCGGTCAATCACTAGAAAACTATGTAAATAAATAAGTATTTATATTCTTAAGTGCAAATATTGTTTAATTGATACTTGATAATGCAGCTGTTAATAATCTACTTAAGCTTGTTGGATAAAGAAAAATATGGATAATATTTACTTAGTAATACCAAATATATAAAAAAAATCGACTTTGGTGCTACAGTCAAATTCTATTTTTTCTGTAAAAGGATCATAGGTATAAGCTTTAAATTTAACAGTTGTAAATGCATAGTGTTACCCACTTGTAGGTCGCTAAATTGAGAGAAACATTTAGCTTCTATTTACTGTAATAAATATAATTCCTTGAATTATGTTAAAGAATAATACTGAAGTAGAATACAGGTGCCCATTTAAACACTTGCAGTATGCTTATTGGCAATTTGACTTGTAATTGCTATCCTGGCACCTGTGTTTATAAAATGCTTAATATCATTTTTTTTTATTTTGCAACCCTTAGTAATGGTACCTTTTCTTGTTGGGACAGTAAGATGGTGTGTCAAACTTACCTTTAATAAAACAGTTACAAATTTATAAACCAATATTTATATTTTGACGAGTGAATGGTGGTTTGTGTAACGGACTGCTATTCCAAAGGTTGCGGGTTCGATTCCTGCACAAGTCAAACATTTGTGTGCATGAACATTTAATGTTTGATTTGGTCTGGGTGTTTCTATTTATAATAAGTATGTATTTACAAAAAAAATACCCATAGTACAAGCTCTGCTTAATTTGGGACTAGATGGCGTTGTGTGAATGTGGTACAATATTATTTATTTAATATATTTAATGAAGGATTTTATTTTCAATAGGTCCTGGCATTTGCATGATGCTTTGCTCACTTAAACGTAATATTTCATCCCTAGGAAATAATATATTCTTTAAAGAAAATGCTTAACAAATATGAATGCTATACATGTGTTGCAAATGAAATATTTCAGCCATAAGTTATTTGTGATAATCTTATTTCGTGATAAATAACATAATTCTGCAAACAGTAGACTTAGCAGGCAGTGTGATCTCAAAGCCTATTTGTATAATATTGCTTTCTTAATTTTAACTTTGGAACTTACAGCAAGTGTTTTTCATTACATATTACTAATGTGTAACTAATGAAATCTGTGCTGTTATAAACACAAGTTCTTAAAACATTGCATACCAAAATTTGCCTGTCTGTCTGTTTGTTCCTTCCGTCTGGTAAGCTTCTAAATAGCTGGACCGATTTTTTTAATTCGGGGGACTTCGTGCGCATGGAATTAAAATAGCGCTACCACCAGCTAGTCGGACATAAACTAAATAAAAAATTCACTACAAAAATTATGTACTGGCATGACCGGTATATCACCAAGGCCATCTATTTAGGGGCCCCATATTTTTTTACTAACAGTAACAAGTTCCTTCGGGACATGTTGCAACTTGTCTGACTCTAATTTATTGATGACCGTTAAAAAAACTACTTATGAATGAGCAGTTGTTTCCATGTGGAACAGGTCAAGTCAAAATGGTGTGCCAGACCATAATAGCCATAGTCAAGATTTGAATAAATTGAATATTAGTGTTGTTTTAAAGAAAAGATTTTAATCGTCAACGTTATTAATCAAATTTAATTATTTACAAATCAAAATAGTCATGTGATTTTAATAAAACATGTATTAATTCATTTCTATTTTTATTCTAAGAGGCTTTTAAATTCAAATGTTTTTTTATTGTCACAGTTTGTTTTATAACCAGAGAGGTTACAACATGTATCCGCAATGAACAGGTAGGAATGTGGCCTATTATATATCGCACCTTTAAAGACAAACCGTTTCTAAACGAAAATATACAATTTTACACAGGAGCTAAAATAACAAAAATGCAGGACCTTTTTGCAATAGCATTTAAGATCATGGTGGTTTGAGCCATTCTTTATGGTCATAATGATGGATATTTATTTACACTATAACATTAAATTCAGAAAAGCTATTTTTTTTTAATAGAACATTGTTAATTACGATTTTAAATTTTTATAGTAACACTTTTCCATTATTTTTTTTTCAATTATGATTAATTATTGTAAAATCCCCATATAAATTATGTAACAAAATATAAAAATACTTGAAAACCCATTATAATAATGATTTTACAATACTACTAAATTGAAAATATTATAATTAGCATTCGCTCAAATTGTAACTGGACAGATAAATAAAATAACACATTCTAATCAATGTTTTATTCTCATTTAAAACGCGAGATCCATACATTTCTTTGACATTATGGCACTTAAATCTTTAGCATTGCTAGGATGTCTTAATAATCAGTCTTTATTCAGTATCTAGTTTTAAACCACAGCAAGTTGTCACTAAACTTCCGTCATCACTCTTTAACAAACAATTCACAATTAGTATAGACACGATATTGCATTTAGCAAGCAAATCTTATTTAGTTTTGTAACGGTCAAAACCGACGCCATCTATGTCTAAAATTGGATTTTTTTGAACAGTGTCAAACTCATCGTATAGTTTACGTAGTTTTAAGAAAGATGGTATTAATAACTCAATTCTCCAAAAATTTCGTTTAGTAACGGTTTGTCTTTAAAGATGCGATATGTTAGTTTTTATGTCTGTTTAAAAAAAAATGCAGAATGGAAGTTTTACCTTCAACATCCACTGCTAATAAGTCTTTTGTTAGACTTTGGTTTTTCAACTAGGCTGATATTAAGATTCCCTCAGTGAATAATATTATAAGGATGATTCATTATATTCATACTGCACGCACAAAATATTTGTTATGTAACACTATACATACATCTATTAATGCATTTTAGACTAAAAAACATAATCTTACCTGTGGTATGATATTCCTTTACCTTTATTTACTTTTTTCTCGTAATTTGTGCACCATCGGAATACACAGGCAGGCATTTTATGAATTTTCTCGAATTATTTAGTACGTGCGCTTGCTCGCAGTGATCCTAATTAGGACCAATTCACAGCGCGTGTTTTTTGCGCTGGTAGCGTATCTACCTCTTGTTTGTAAATAGTATTATTACCCTCAGTAGTATATATATTCTACTCTAATTCTATATTAATCTAAATGAATGGCGCTAACACCCTTTTGCAAAACAAGAGATTATGGATTTGATTCCCACCAAGGACAATTTAAATTGCATGATGAGAGTGACATATGTTCTGTATCTGGGTGTATGTTATCCATAATATATATGTGTTTAGAAATATATAAGTATGTTTATCAGCAGCCTAGTCACCATTTGGATAGGCATTGTTGATGTCCACTATGGAGGGATTTCCTAGAAGTTTGTTTTAGTTTATAGTAAAAGCACCACATGTGACAAAATTTCATTAAGGGTTTTATGTTAGTAACAAGCAAATAAAACTGGTGTCATAATCATATTAGAAATTAACAGAAGTCAATAGCCCACAGTTTCTGAATTGAATAGTGAATCATTAATAATTTTCAGTTACAATACCTCCAGATGCAGAAAGAAGATATGAAGTGACAGCTTCCCAAGAGAATGATACTGGCGACGGGGCAGCTGTTCTCCCAGACCATAATACCTCACAAAATTTGTTCCCAGAGAGTCCTGTATATGAACCAGAGGATGATGTTCAAGTTTGTATTCTTATTGGTTCCCTATATAACTTAGCTATAAAAATTGTTGAAAAACTTGAGATTAAAGTACCCATCTTGGGTCCCTGAACATAATCAGCTTTTGCTACCATGAAAACCTCATTTGAATGTTGAAATGTTTTTAAAAAGCCTTGTTGAACTGTTCCAGGTTATTTCTAGTGCAACTGAAACTGAGGAAAATAACTTACCATCATCAGAATTACCAGGTATGTGTTTTACAAAATATTTGTCAGTTCTTAATGTATTCCTTTAAATATATCTTGCCACTAAAATATTTTCCATAGTTAGTATTTCTATTATAATCTGTATTAGCTAATTGAGCACTGTGAGATCTTTATAAATTTAAATAAACTTGATTTACAGAAGAACCATCAACCTCTCAACCTAAAAGAAAGCTTTCTGAGGAGGCTTCAGAAAGCAGCGCAAAGATCCAAAAACTTGAGCTCACCGAAGATGAGTTTGCAGTATCCACCCAATCTTTGGATAATGAAGTATCTGAGATCACTACAAACGCTGAAAATGATATTACCGAAATTAGTAGCGTGGCAAAACGAAGGTTGGAGGACCTGGAACTACCATCTACCTCCAATGTTCGCTCTCCTGTTAGATCGAGTCCTAGAAGGCTCAAACGTAGCAACAGTGTGGATATATCACAACCTAAAATACCAAAGACTCCAAAAACTCGACCTGCTAGCGTGGACATCCTTAAAGCTCGAAAAACACCTCGCAAAATAGAGAAAGAAATAGCCAAAGATGAGCCAAAAGAAACAATAGCTGATAGTTCATCAAGCTCACGTCCAAGTGTTGAGTTTGTAAGTGAAATACCTCCACCCAAAATTCCTGAAACTATCGCTGAAGAAAGCAACTCGGAGTTAGATGATTCTCAAGGGTTTCATCTCGTATTATCACAGTCTCCTGAGCATGAAAGTAACACGAAAATAGTGTTGACACAGTGCAACAGTGACCCTGTACTTGTAAAAGACAGAAATGACGATATCAGTACAGAGAAAGTCAGTGCCACTAGGAGTGAGGGCTACATTTATTCTGATCAAGGCAACTTCTCTCAACCAAAGTCAAAAGACTATAACCTCGGTAAGGGCACAGATCAAGAAAGCACTGACAGTGTTGGTTCTATAAATTTGGAGAGTCCTGAATCTGTACCTACTGTTGCTTCAAAACTCATTTCTAAACTCTCCAATGGTAATTCCTCTACTCCTACCGAAGTAGTAGATGCCAAGGTTGGTACTTCAGGAGATAGTGAAAATACTCCAGATATGATCAAAATGAATATAACCAAAGGTAAAAGAAACAAGCACGATTCCTTCCGTTTAAGCAACGATGCAACCCCATCTACGATATCTCCTTTGCCAAATGGTCACTCGTTACCAGTCTCGACACCCCAGATCCCAGTCTTTGATGTACACATCAGTCATAACGAAGACAACGATTTCTTATCTCTGTATGTTGTGCGTACTGATATCGATTTAGGCATGGATATGTGTCGGGAATACCAGAGAATGTCCAAAAGGTTCACTATTGATCCATACTTGGCTGATGTGTCTGCAAGCACATCTCCTTCAAGTGTCACAAGCGGTGGTATGATTAATTTGCCAAATAGAACGTCCTTTGTTTCTACTGTAAGTTCAACATCTACCGCCAGTAACAGGACAAGTGATGGAGCGTTTGTAGTGCCACAACCACCGCGGAAATCCATCGCAAACCCAACAACTACGGTCAAGGGATATGATGCTTTATTGAAGAAGCTTCAAGACCTATTTTCACATATCCGTGATACTACCGTCGACGAAGGTAGCGATGAAAAAGTGTCTGTCGGTATTCAGACATCCGGTTCTAATGATAGTACGTTCAGTAACGGCAATGCGAGTCCTGAAGAAGTAAATAAATGTGACAAAGCAACTCCTAAGAGCTCTTTGAAGAAAACACGTGTTCGTGGACGACGGCATTTAGCCGGGAAAACTAAACGAGCATTACTGCCAACGCAACACGAGGAAGCAGAGTACATGCATGGAATGAATTCCCCAGAAATGGTGCCAACCAATGGGGAAAGTGGCAAAGAGTCTCCAGTCAAATCACCTAAAGATGAAAAACCCTTGTCTACTTTAGTTGCTACACCTAAATCGATTAGCAAACTAAAGACCAAGCGCCGACCAACGTCTCCTAGACCTGCGACGCCTGTAGAAAAGGCTCCTGTAAAGACTGAATATCCTGGATACCCTCCTGATACTGTGGTATTGGCCAAATGGGTGGACAAAAGTTATTATTCAGGCAAAATATTGGAAATTACTGAGCCAAACAAATATTTGGTCAAATTTGATGATGGTCAAGTCAAGGTGTTGTTGGATGACTTCATAATTTTTGGGGACATGAAGACATTACCTCTAGAAGGACAATCTGTGTATGCTTTGGTGGATGAGGAACAGAATTACGAGCCAGGTTTGGTTCTTGGTGTAGAAGAGAATGATAGTGGAACTGTGATATATAAATGCACTACAGATGGGTGAGTGTGTTTAATATTCTTATAAAAATAAATATCCAAATTTTTAGATGCTTTAGAGAGGGATTAGCCTTTAATTTCTACTATGTTACTATAATTACTAAGAGTTAAGGTCTGATCTCACTAAATAGTATAGACAAGATAGTACTCTGTAAAATGGGTAGAGAATCTTTATGAAAACACAACTAAATTAGGTAAGTAGGTAATTAGGAATTAAAGTTAATATCGTAACAGAGTAAATGGTTTTGCATCACCTTCTATCACAGTATAGTTCAAATAAACTTAGTATTTGATGTCCCTTTTGGATATAAATACTAATTACATAAATATTATTTGCCACTGAAACTCTCCATCCCCTGGCAGCCTGTAAAACATTGTACTACATTAACTGTACGATAACGCCGACAATTGTATTATATCTAATCTATTTATCATTTTTTAAATTCCAAAAAATATTTAACGACGAAAATCGTCTAACAGGGACACCATAGTAATGGTAACAGCGAGTGAGCTTTATCTCACGGAAGACCAGGCCCGTTCATTGAAGGAGTCGGCTGGGACTGGTACACCATCAACACCGACTACTCCACGCCGAAGACACAACCGAGAGCTGGACCTCGATAACATCATACAGGTTGTTATAATTTATAATTCTATAACTGACATCAGTAGTTTTATCAGCTACATTGATCTGCTCCGTTAACAATTAGGCTAAATTCAATCTGACTAAATTCAAGACATTAGTAATTGCAACTAAACAAATAGACTCTATAGATTACTAGACATAGGATCAATGTTGGGTTTTCGAAATCTAAATGGGACAAAACTTCATGTGATCTACAAGGAATTAATACTAGTAATTACCTCACACATCTCACACATAGCGGTCCAATCCCAAACTAGGCAGATCCTGTACTATGGTAACTAGACTGCTGATAAACATACTCATATATTTTTAAATATATACTTATTATAGATAAATATATTATTATAATAATAAATTGTTTATTTTCTCGCCACAATACATTTTTAGATAATTATAGCTTGCAAAAGAATTATTACAAAATTTCATACTGTTTGTATTATACCCAGTCACAGAACAAATGACCGTGCTCATCACACGATATTCGTTCTGGGTGTGAATAGTTACTTATATATAAACTATACAATACCAAAAAAAACAGTGACACTCCGGGAGTGCCGACAGAAGTGAATTTTTTTAACAGGGAAAAATATTGTTTTTTTCGATTCGAAAAGTTCCGGCATAAATATATATAATAAATCTATGTATATATCCAATTTTTTTTATAATATCAATGTATTTCTACCCAAACTCAACTCTTGTGTAAACTGGGTCAATATATGTAGACACGTACAGAGGTGTCGGTAACGGTAACAGTGTCGCGAGTTCAATGTTTTTTTCTCATTTCAAAAAATACATTATTTTGTTTGTTCAAAAATGAAGTTTTCACTTCAAATGTAACATATCTGTCTATCCTTTCAGTCGAATATCTTAGTATGCTGTTGTAGCTTGTCTTATTTCTACTGCTATTGTGACAGGGTCCACGCAGCGCCCGCACCAGGGACAAGGGCAGTTCGAGCGCCAGGAAACGTGTCGTGTCCCCAAAGAGCCCCAAAGCGTCTACATCAGGTACGATGTGCTTCACTTCACAGATTCGCTTTGCGTGAGTATTGTGTACGTGACTCATAGAGAGGTGGCCAGTATTTATCCAACACCTAACACATGCTCTTGGAAATTTATCGTACCGTATAACACATACTAAAACATGTTTAATTAATCAACTAAGTATAATTAATGAAGCAACTTAAGCTTCCAATTCAACCCTACTGTTTGAATTTCAAGTCGAAAGTTAAAATATTGTACACCCGATTAACTGACGGATTAAGTATTATTGATAGTAATAACGGAATAAGTACATAATCACGTCAACATACGCGCGCCATGGTTCGATATGCGGCTCTCTCATAATAGACATAATGACAGCCATAATACGCAATTATTTATTAGAAATAATTGAACTTAACGAACGATTCTTGATCTATCTAGCTTGATAGAATCGCGTTATCTATATATGTGGATCAGACGCAGAATGCTAACATCAATTTCGAATCTTCTTGAATATTTTGCGAAGTTAGCGTTCTGCGAAGTTGACACTGTGCAAATGTGCCGTTGTGCGTCGTGTTGACATTATGAGAAGTAGGTATTCTGCATCGGAACCAAATATCAGTAAAGGGAAATGTAAAATTTATTAATTTTTAAAATACTTAGTATGTTATTAAAGAAATATTTTCATCAGGTTTAAAAACCAGTAAGAGTACTCCAGGTCCGGTGGCTCGGAAGCGTCTTGCGAGCGAAAGTAGCGAGATCAGTGAGAGCAGCAACTCAGCCCCACCTGTGAGGCTGGAGGAGGTGACCGGCGTGGAGCCGGAGGTACAGCGGACTCCGAGGAAGATTGACGGCGTCAAAGGTATATTATCAACATGAAGTAGTCAATTGTCAATTCATTTATTCGTCCGTGAGGCCAGGGGTGGCAAATCGATTTTTTTTTTAAGTAGTTAGCTTGCACTTTTTTGTTCTACATCTTATGTATACGCCTTCACGAAGTATTTCCCGGTTACACCATGTTTATTTTAGGTAATTATTTCAATCGCCGTGATTGCGAATAAATTAAGTAAAAAATGTAATACAGTGCAAAAAAAATGTAATTACAAAATGTGTGTAAATTTTTATTATTTCATTACAGTAACATTAGTATGTTTATATTTATGAAATTATTCTACAGCCGGTCCTTTACAATTAAAAGGCGCTGCCAAACAAAACATAGGCAAGAAAAACTCCAAGTTGACGAAGTTTGAGAATGACGTGGACACTGTGTCAATCCTCGGGCCAATACCGGGGCCGGACAGCAAGCTGTTCGCCGGGCTGCACTTCTTGCTAACGTGCACCGAACCACCCAAACGTTCACGTGATAAGGTAATAAATCCTTTAATAGTCCACTCCTGGACATTGTGTTGCTGGACATAGGCCTCTCTTTACAAAGGAGGTTTTCGCCTACTATGCCACATTCATAATTTGTTGCTACCCGGCAGCTTCCATTAACTGTAACATATTAGGGTCCCGTACCCAAAGGGTCTGTCTGTTTGTCACCAGGCTTTATTTAATGAACCGTGATAGTTAGACAGTTGAAATTTTCACAGATGATGGATGTTTGTTGCCGCTATAACAACAAATACTAAAAACAGAATAAAATAAATATTTAAGGGGGGCTCCCATTCAACAAACGTGATTTTTTTGCACGTTTTTGCTCGATATTGATGACGGCAACAGGTAGACGCTTGAAATATTCACAGAATATTTAGTTATAAATTCACTTTAAAAACAAATAATTAAATTAAAATTAAAAAAATGACTAAGGGGGGCTCACATACAATAAACGTGATTTTCTTGCCGCTTTTATAAATAATGAATGATACGGAACCCTTCGTGCGCGAGTCCGACTTGCACTTGGGGGGTTTTTATTATAATGAAAATCATTTAACTTTATAGAGCCAAAATCAAGAAACCCGCCACTATTCTTCAGAGGAAGACGGCGAGGCGAGCTCGGTAGCTGGTACAGATACCGAAGACTTAGTGTTCTGTGACCGACCCTTCAATAAAGAACGGCTCAAAGAACAGATCGAGGCTGGCGGAGGGATTGTTTACAGGTAAGGGGTGTGTTAATAAGGTGTTACATCCATTTAAGTGCTTAGTTCATATAAACGTTACATTGCCATGTTACACATTTTTCTATTTTTCAAATTAGTGATTATCCTAATAAGTGTTGATGAACATAGTACTTCTATGGATGTTTAAACACTTCGTGATTTGGCAGGACAAAACGCGTTGGCTCCGTAGAAAAATGTCGTGAAAGGATTTACTCTTGATATATTAGTACTCTCCGGTTTGACAAAAAACTGTTGCCCATGGTAACATTTCAGTAATATATGCAGAAGAAAACTATTATTACTCCGTTATGTTTTTTCTGACATAATAATGAAATGTGATAGCGGCATGCGTATCTCATATTTACAGAACAGATAAGATCACTGAAACAATTTCTGTGAGTGTATTTTTCTTTATACATATACTATCTGACCCGGCAAACGTTTTGCCAAATAATTTTTTAGGGATTGGTCACCCTTATCATTAAGGAGTAAGAAAAATAGATGTTGGCCGATAACGTTGTTGGTTGACAAAAAGTCGGTAAAGCCGTTTCGGAGGAGTTTGGTAACAAACACCGCGATAAGAGAATTATATATATTAGATACAAATATTTGATTCAATTAGCACTCAAGTAATGTTTACCAAAATTTATAATAAATTGCCTAAAGGAATTAGAAATGAAACCATATTCAATATATTCATAAATAGATTGCAACAATTACTTCTACAGAAATGTTCTTACATCATCAACGAATACCTGAGTGGCAAAAACGACTGTAGTTGAACGAAATCGCCACCAATAAATTAAGTATGTACATAAAAAAACTGAAGTATAAGTAATGTTGTTAATTTGTATTATCTCTTCCTCTCTCTTATCCATTGCTGCGCACGAAAGAGTCTATGATGATCAGATCTTATATTTAAGCTACTACCTAATCAAACATTGTGAAATGCAATAAATATATTGAGTATCTAGACCCGCGCAAATAAACATATTTTTACGAGGGGATACGATAAATAAAAGTTGTCGGTTAATTACTTTTATTGCACTGTATTTACAAACACTCACTATTAGAAACAAGAAATCACTATAGGTATAACTCATTAGTCGCACTAGAAATTCACTTCGATGTTAATTCGCTGTGTCGTAAAACAATACTGTCCCGTACGGCTAACATGCTCCGCTTTTATAGGGCTAACGAAATTACTAGACTAATCCCAAAGATCCGATGGAATGTTCCAGACAAAACCATGTACAGTAAAGAATCTACAAATTTCAATAATCTTCCGATACCTGTTACCTGCAGCGCCATCTAGCTCCGCAAGTGTCAGAATTATTAATCACAATCTCAACAGTGTTGCTTCACTTGATATTAGATTATTATTACTATCACCTCCTTAAAGGATGATTTCAGCAGTAAAAACTTCCCTAGCTTTCCTGGGACTCAAACTACTTCTACACCAAAGCAGAATGACCATGAATGTATGGACACGGTACCACATTGCCAAAGTCGTTTAAGAAAGTTTATAAGATAACCAAATAACATTTACAGTTTCCATTTTATACAAAACATGGGAGTTTAAAAAAAAAACGTAACATAACCTAAAGTGAGGCACGTTGCAGCCACTTCGACGACGTGCCCCGGAGCAAGTACAGCGTGTGCAAGCTGATCGCGCCGCGGCCCTGCCTCACGGCCAAGTACATCCAGTGCCTGGCCACGGACATCCGGCCCGTGTCGCACGGCTGGGTCATCGCCTCGTGCGCGGCCGGCGCGCTCGCCGACCTCGACTCCTTCGCGCTGCCCGCCGGCTGGTCCATCCTCAAGCAGAGGTTCATCAACTGGGTAACTATATTCACTGCATACCTCAAATGTATTCAACAATTTAAAACAGCTCCAGACTTGTTACGTGTTATTTGTTAAACGGCTATGCTGTATTCGCCTAGATATTTGTCATATGAGCGTACAACAAAGGTGTAATCCACACTTCGTTCCGGCGTGCCAAACATGCCAAATATATGTTGTTCGCTTAGACACTAAATGGACGTGTTGACTGCGACAACAGTTTATTTTTACTTAAATACACCCTTATGTTAACTTCGCTTTGGGTCCCAAATACAAAGCTTCATCTGGTATAATTCCAAAAATCGTCTACTCCATTTGCGTATTATTCTCCATAACGAACCCACACTTCGTTCAAACCCACAGTCGACACGCACGAATAAAGCAAATATAGACGAATGAGCCTTACACACTTGATCGTATGTGACCAAATTAGACGAATAACATAAACGTTATATTAGGGCTAAGTATGGTGTGGCGTTATTAGAACTATTTTGTTCTCCAATTATCGACGGTTATTCTTTTGTTATGTAGGAACTTTTTTCTTGCTTCCTTGCAGTTTGTGAGATCGGTTTCCTGAAAATATACGGAAATATGTAACAGGAAGTCGAGGAGTTGCGCGTTATCGCACGTGCTCATCGGTCAAAAATAATTTGACCAACATTAAAAAAACAAATGACAGTCTCACAAATTAAGGAGTAATATATTCCATTTAAAAGTTCTGTAGTCGATTTTTTTGTGTGCCTATATAAATCGATCGATCTGTGATGGGCGTTACGAATGCAGGTGCCGGCGCACGGGCGACGCAGCGGGTTCCTGAAGGACAAGCTGATCCTGCTGTGCAGCGAGCAGGACTCGTTCGTGAAGTTCTGGGCGCGCGTGTGCGGGCTGGCGGGCGCCGTGCCTCGCGCCGTGAGCGAGGACGAGCTGGAGCTGGGCGGCGCGCTGGCGCTCGTCACGGAGTGGGACGCGTGCCCGCACGAGGTGCAGAACAAGGCCAACCAGGACAGCGTGCCGCTCGTGTCCACGGCCTGGCTCGTGCAGTGCCTCATCGAGGCGCGCGTGCTCGCGCCCGCCAGCCACGACAAGTTCTCCTTCATGTACACGGAGCCCGAATGATCCTGGGACTTCAAAAAGATCCTCATCATACGTGACGTTTGACACTTGAGGTGACGCGCCTGACGCTCCTAGTGTAAGTGAAGTGTAGTGCGAGCTCGCCCGTGCAGTGCAGTCGACTATCCGAGTACAAAGATATAGTGATAGGGAGGGGGGGCGCTGCTGTTACAGATTGTCAGGGTAGTTGATGTAAATTTCTTTAAGTTCGTGTCGTGTTAAGGAAAAAAAAAAGTTTATTTTATAGCAAAAAAACAATGCACATCAGTTATTATGCTGGATTATTCGGCTCCAGACTGTAACTCTGTGACAGTTATCAAAACTCTTCCAATAAAAAGGATAAACCTTTATGATGGTTTATGAAATAAGCACATTTAATCATAGACACATGTCCCCATCTCGTTAATTATATTTTGGTAAACAAAAAAGAGCCAGTCTTATTGTTTACCAAAATTTGTTACAATTTCATAAAATATATTGTGTCAATGACCTAATTGTAACAGGAATATATCTAATAACACCTAAGCCTAATTAAATGTGTTTTTTTTTGTTTACTAACAATTGTTTACACAATACACAGTAAAACTTACATAAAGAGCAAAATACTAATAGTGTAACAATTACTTAAAGGTAAACAATGTTTTAATAATTATTCATATAACAATTTGTTACCCAAAATTTCCCACTATATCAACTACCCAATGGCCACTCAGTAGTACGTAGTGTAACATATACAATCATAATTTAGAGAGGTTACAATCTTCAAAATGATAAAGCATAATGAAATGCTATATTTATAACAAAAAAGGTTGGTCAACTAAAAGATTGATATGAAGTTACACTCAGAAGATACACGGCATGTAACGGCAGCATACTTAATGGTGGACATTAAAAAAATCTAAACATTTAAGGACTTGGTGTTAGTGGTGTTTAAGCTATATTTGTAAGAAATATGAACGATATATTGACTAAATATTGATACGTTTCGCTCGTATTATATTTCTTAAGGTGATCTTGACTTTAAGGCCACCCCGATATACTATATTTGTAAAAATTGTACAAACTTATCAACCAAAAAATATTAGTGACATAAAATTTTTGGACTATCCAACATGTTTACTACAACTTGTTGATTGGGCATGATAATATAAATTATGTCTAGCTGTTTAGTAAATGTAATATTAAACTATACTGACATATACAAGAAATATACTAAAATAAAACATTCGAAATATTTACCCACTATATGATGATAAGAAATTATTATTAAAATGTCCTTTTGTCAAACATATAATCATGATATGTAAATGTCCTACATTCTATTTTAACAATATTTGGTCATCAATTTAAACCAGTATTGCCTTTAATCAAGAGATTAATGACAACTCATAGTAACAACAAAATAGTCACTTGTTAGAACCAGTGAACCTCTTACCTGTGAAGTGGTTTTGTATATTATTGCAATCAGATGCTTATTGCCTTACGTGGTTTGTATAAAAAGTGGACATCAAGGGGTGATCTTTTAGTCAGTATTCAGAAATATTGTAATGTATAATAAAACACTTGTTGTGTGTTTCACTATCTTTAAATATTAACTATTAAAATGAATCGGTGTACTTCTAATGTAATTACAGTCTGTGACTGATTTTTCTTAAATGATCTGAATTATCTAAAGAAAGATGTTGATTTCCACTCATGGCCTTACTAGAAATTTACTCATTTTTCTAAGTACATTTTGTGTTGCAGAAATCTAACAAGTTCAAAGACTTCTTGACTTTTAAACGATAAGGTAGCTAATTATGAATGAAGTAGATATAAAATTGGTATTCAAATGTATATGGTCTCATTTAGTGAGTAAGTGTTTATATTATGTATAACTATTCTCAATTTTGTGAATATACCTGATGATTTTTCCTGTAAGTCATCAATTAAATTGTGTCGATTTAGAATCGAATAGCCAAAGCGAGCTAAAGTTAACTCTTGACATTCTTAAACAGTATAATTAGTGACGTTTTTGTTATTTATTTTTAATATTTTTTTTATGTAATTGTGTCTGTTTGTGCTAAGACTATTTTATTGACGTCTGTTGCAATTGGTAGGAGGATGTAAAGATGTGATGAATGTAACCTTTTTAATTATTGGTACCATATTATGTTGTATAAACAGTATCGTCAAAAGTAGATTAGGTGTAAGTAGAATCAGTAGTCACCATCATGCATTTGTTTTCATTAGTTTTTAGAAACCAATTTCAAATAATTAATATTTCCATGACTGCATTAAATATGGATAGTATTAAAATGTGTATTTAACTTGTATTATTTACAAATGTTGTCATGATATGCCCATAAAAAAATATTTGTGTACCATCTTTAATTAAATGTTCTCATTGACCATAATTTATTTACAATAATATTTCAACAAACACTCGTCAAACTATTTTTTTTTCTGTGCCAAAATAAAAGCCCAATTTGTACATTCCAAGTTAGTAAGTCCAGTGCACATTAAATTTTAACAAGAAATCTTCGTTAAACACATTTGTTTTCATAACGCTTACAGCTTATTGCCTAAAAAATACAGAGTTATTGTCGATAGAGTAATGGGAAATTCCTTTAATGTTATTTTTAGTTAATAAATGTCTTATTTGTAAGACATTGACGTTTTTTGATACTATAATGACACTAAATTAATTTACCTTGAATATGCTTGATCGAAAATCTCTTTAAATGACCACACTCAGGCTAATAGTAATGAATATTTTGCGTCGGTATACAGAAAGGCATAACCTTATAGTCCATTCGCGTTAAGAAAATAGTGACGCATCGATCGAGCCCCGCCCCCTGACCAATCAGATTACAAACTTTCGTATGAAACGATAATTTCTTACTTGCTGTATACTGAGGAAATAGTGTCAAAAATATCGAATAAATCACACAGCAAGCAGCAGGTTCTTTCAGAAGGCCAATTCTCGTAACAAAAATTCGGTCGTGCCTACTTTTCTATCTGCATACTCAGTCACCAAACAAACCTCTCATTTTATCATCAAGTGAGCCTGTTTAGTGTAAAAGATCCAACCAATTTTATGAAAACTATTTACAAGAGATTCTAGAAACTTTTGAAACTACAATGTTGCTTATACCTATTTGGTCAGATAGTTTTTGATCAATTTGATATTGCTTATATCTTTTCTTTCAGATTGTTTTTGAAAAAGAAAACAATGTTACTTTTTATTGCTGAACAGGGTCCAACTGGTCTGCAGCATAGTATTGCATTTATGTATCTTGTGTTCAAAACAATACACATTCATTCATATGCTATTTTGAGTGCTGTGTTTTAGCGAACTTTGTTATCTATGGTAAGGTAATTGCGTTGATCCTTGTCTCTCATGACGGCCGTCTATTCATCGAATTTATTCAACGCCTGTAATTTCTATAGTGTATAGAGCATCTTTGTAATGTTATAGAGCATCTTTGTAATGTATATTAATGGTAATTCAAATTATGAAATTGTAACCGTATTGTGTCAAATGTAACATTCGTCATTCAGCTCGTTGTGTAAATGTCACTAATTTAATCTTTAAGAGAACTAGTGATGTACCCGCTTTAACATTCTGGCATTTTTATAATTATTTCTTAGTAACTCTGAAGGTATCCAGACAACTTATAAAATAATCGATGTTTTTAAGCTAAGATTTTCTTCAAGAAAGCCTACAAGTTGTAGTGTGGATGGCATGTAGCTATAAATTAATTTTTAAAAAAGAGAAAGAAACAGTTTACTTTTTCTTATCTTTTTTTTAATAAATTAAGTTACCCAAAAATGTTGGTTAATCATAAGTACTTTATGCTGTATTACAAGTTTTTAGGTTTAGTCAGTGCATTGGATCTATTTGGGGTAAGATTTTTTTTCAATTCTTAATGTTTTGTAAACAGAACAATATATTATGTGCAAAAGTCTTTACATAGTGTTAAGTGTAGTGTTCAATGCTCCTATCATGTACAATTATGGTAACTTTAATGTTTAGTGTAATTAATCTGATTCACCTTTTTTTAATTAATTATGTTGACTTTCAATGAACATATTATTGTTAAATCCGAAATTGAACCAAATGCACTTGATCTGATATTGTACATATATTACAATTTGACCTCTATTATAAAAACCTCTGTGAGGGAATAGTATTATTTGGCTAACATCGTGGGTATAAGGAAAACGGCATTTTCTTATTCACTAAATCTTAGAAGATGAGATTTATCAAACTGAAATTATGTAATTTTCAATTCGTATAGTTTTAAGAGATAATTATGCTCTTATAAACTTGACTACTTGACAACTTTTGGAAAGTTATTACTATTATAATCTTAATTCATAACTTACGAGAAAATAGTATTCTACCCATTTAGTTTTTTTTTTAGATTATCCTTAAATTTAAAGCATTTTATTACACCATAACTCTTGCAACGAGACATTGCAAACCTAGAAGAGTGAAAAGGATAGACCTATTGTGTTCGCTCTCACTTCTAGAACAAGAATGGCCTGTACGTCATTTATCTACTAGAAATATATGATCGGTGAGATACATTACTTGATCATGTGATAACCGAGTTCAGATTAGAAATAAATTACCTTCTTTCAAAACATTACTTAAAACTAAGTAAATTCGAGAAATTACCTCAAATATGTCTATGCAATTTCATTATACCTAATTTTTTAAATGGGCTGAACATTATTCTTTGGAAGCAAGATTCTATCTATTCCAAGATATCATTTAAATTTTTAAACAAAGAACATTTTTAAGAAAATTATGGATACTGTTATGAGATCTAAATTAAACATTTCGTCATTTGAGTTAAATTTGTAAATATTTAATTTGAGTTAATTCAGAGGACAATTCAGGACGGTGGTATTTAAGGTGGAATGTTGAAAATTTTGGAGAAATTATAAGTATTAATATTTTTTCATAGTTTAGCAGCATTCCAATAAAATTATTACCAATATATTATTATGATTAA